GTAAATATAACTATGAAAATAAATATAATAAATAAAATAATGATAAACGTTATAATAATAAAAATGAATATCATAATAATAACCATTATAGCAGTGAAAATAGTGAAAATGATGATCACGATTTTCTAGTGATCATTGGTGACATTAGTTAGTGCAGTCATTTAATAGTGTAAACAGATCATCATTAACAACTTCTTCCTCTAATATCTGAACTCCTGCGATAGTACTAGCTTTTTATACGAGCTGTTGATGTTGTTTAAGATTGATACGAGAGAGTATTCTTATAGTTGTATGTTTAGTTTGAGCAATTTGGTCTATTCCAATTAATTCGTATAATTAATATACTTGTACGGTGACTTTTCAGTAGTATGGTAAGAGAAGGTTCATACATTAAGTTCTTTCAGTTAGTGATTCTATTTTAGTTTCAATAGCCTTTTCCTATATGCCAGAGGACTATTAATATTTCAACTTGATTTCTTAAGCTTTTTGCTTTTTTAAGTTGTCAAAGTAGAAATTTTACTTGTTGTAAAGCGGTATCATTGTGCTGATAAAAAGGAAATAGAATATCCAGATAAAGTGGTTCAGTTTGTTGCAAGTCTGCTAAGATTTGATTATATAGTTCCATTTTAAATTTGAGAAAAAGGGGTGAAGTTCAGTAAATATCCACTCTATTTATATAGATTTTTAATAAGCTTCCATTTACAGGGGTTTTTAGAACTTTCCTATTTATTTTCCTAATTTTATAAGCACTATTTCCAATTATGTCATGTATATAATATAGTCCTTTCCACTTTGGGTCTAATTTTTTAAGCCACTGCTTATCTAACATCGCTTTATAATACAAAACTAGATCGCCTATTTGGTATGACACAATTTTCTTTAATTTTTCATTATATCGATCTTTCTGTTTTTGTTGTTCTTTTTGCAAATTTTGTTGAACAGTATTATGAATAATTGGCAGCTGATATAATTGTTTTTTCACATGGTTAAGCAAGAGGGATTCCTCCTCCATTTTTGTACTATCCATTGGCAATTTAGCTTCTTGTTCATATACAAGAAAAAAGGGTGATATTTTTATAACAGAATGTTCATTTGTGCGATAAGCAAAAAATGCAGGAGCGATGAAACGATCCCAATCCTTTTGATGATTAGTAGCAGTTTGTGCAAGGGCTTCTATTAAAGTTTTATTGAACTTTTCAACTAATCCATTAGTCTGTAGATGATATAGCGTTAACATTCTATGACTTATTTTAAATTTTTGTAATAATTCATGTAATAATTGATTGTTGAAATGTGTATCATGATCTGTAAGTATTTCTCCAGAACATCTATGTTGACAAATTATATCTTCATATACGAATTGTATAGTTATTTTGGTATCATTATGCCTTACAGGTTTAGCTTCTGAACACTTGGTTAAATAGTCCATAGCAATGATTATATACTTATTTCCTTTATTTGAAGCTGGTAAAAATTTAACATAATCTATTCTAATACGATGAAAAGGTTGTCCAATTGGTATCAGATGTAAAGATTCTATTCTTGAGACTCTTCCTATTTTCTGACAAGAGTCACATGATTGTATATAATTTTTGATATCTTCAAACATTTGAGGCCAATAAAAACGTTTTCTAATTTTCTCTATCATCCTTTCTTTTGAACTATGAGCAGCAGTTGGATCATTGTGAAACATGTAAAGTACAGGTTTTAGTTCTGTTTTCTTGAGTACTCTAATTGGGTTATTTGGGTTATTTTTGTTAATTTTATATAATAAATTATGTTTGATAATATAATGTTTTGATAATACGTCTAATTTGTATTGTTGTGTTTGATTAAAGGTAATGGGGTATGTTTGGTTGGTTAAATAATTAAATAGTTGATTATATTGCTGTTCTTCTATATTTAAGAATTTAAGCTATTTATCATGCTGTAAACACTTTCACTTTCACTTAATTCTTTATGTTATATATTAATAATTTGATTTAATAGGAGGGGGAAAGGGATGCATTATCAATGCCACCAAGGTGAAAATGTAATTATGCACAAAGGTTTTCCTGTTGTACTAAGAGAGGTTCTTCCCACCAGAGGTCATTAGTTAAATATTCTGGTTTCATGTCTGGTT